TGTTTTTTTGGGGGCTTTTTTTTTCCTGGCTGGCTTCCCTGAAGGAGTTTGTAGAGAGAAATCTGCCTATTGAACCCTAAAACAAACGCACACAAACCTGCCTCTGGGAGGGAACTAGCCAGGTGAAATCTCACTCTGTTTCCATGGACAACCCGTCCATTATCACCCAGGTGACTAACCCCAAAGAGGAGGAAATACTGTCCTGTACTCAGGATAAAGGTAAGGGTCCTTTCAGCTTGTACTAAAGTGGTGGGTGCTATAAAGATGCATGCAATAAATAATATGCATTACACAGCTGTAGTATAAATGTCCTTCTAGGACTTGGGGAGTGTTTGGTTGGTTGGAGAGTGTAGGTTGAAGGTATTTGTGTGATGGCATCTGACTCTGCTTGTCTGATAGGTTTATAGATGATTCATAATGTTCTGTTTTAATTTAGTATTAACCACGTTTTTATCTAAATATAATGTATTGCGTCTCCAGAGGGTCTTTATTATAACTTCTGTTACCTTGTTTTTGTCACCCTGAAAGCTCTCTAGGAAGAAAGAGCTATCTATGTCTGTCGTCTTAGAACATTTTGAAATCTCATTCTGAGGCAATGAGATATTTTGGAGGGGAAGAGGGTTGTGACTTTCTCAACCCTAATTTAAAACACAAAATTTATCTTCAGATCTTTTTGAAGGATTCTTCCTTGAACCTACAAAAGAAATCAAGGCTACTTAGCATCTGAAAGTGGACAGGCAGAACTGATCTGTAAATATGCAATCACAGACTGGTTACAACATCAGGTAAAGATTATATTGTAACTGTCCCAAAACAGGGTCTGCAAAACCTGCCCTGGAGAGCCTCTGTGGCTCAAAAGTTGACAGTTGCATTCACCCTCCCTTCCCTTCTGGGATGTTGTAGGGATCTTGAATTGTGGGTGGCTAAGTATTTTGTGATACAAAGGTAGGCTCTCCAGAAGGAATAAAAGACAATCTTTAAACTGACAAAGTTCATGGCATTTTTTTAAAGAGTATTTCAGTTCTTGGAAGTGATTGTGTCTATAAAGATGTGTGAATTTTTGGGTAGTGTACAAACAAGGCAAAAGGGGGAAAAGTGTGCATATATGAAAGTAACATCTGTTAATAGATTCAGCAGTATTCCTGTGTATTAAAAACTCAGTATCCCCTTTTTCTGTGATCAGCATCCATCATTTTTCAGTGTCCTAAAGTGCTTTTACTTTTGCTAAGTGTGGAGGTTCTTGTAATGGTAAGGAATTCTAAATAGAGTGGTTGGTCCCTGTTTCACCATAACAGCAAACCACTTCACACCCAACCACTGAGTATGGTCCCATCCCAGAAAGACTGTAGGAAAGTACAATAATATGTAAGAAATTAATCTGTGCCACTAGAGGTGGTTATTATTAAGGAGCATTTTCTCCTTTGGAATAGGAATGCTACAATCAGTCTTCTCTCATCCAAACCAATTGTGAAATAACAGATTTACTGTGCGGTTTTGTTTATGCAGACTTTTAATATTACCTGGTGGTGGTTAGCAGTGATGGGTTTGGGGTGAGCTACTGTTTACAAGGTGCTTATCATTGACATTTTATACAGAGTTTCACAGACATTTTTGGATTAGGGATAGGTAATACAGTAGTTAAAGCATCAGTGACACCCAGAGGCTTGTGTATATTGGAGCTCCAATTTTTGATCTTATTACTGGTGAAGGTGTTATCAGCATTGGGAATTCTACAGTAGACAGAATAGTCAAAAAACAGCTGATAGAACACAATTTAACAGCTTATATTAAATAAATGCATTTGCAGTAAACATAAGTGTGTCTTCAGATTCACTACTCTGTGTTGATTACATAGTATCTGTGACTATGTATTTGCATGCTGTTTATTCATATTATTGCCCATTCTCAGCTATCTTAAAAATAATGGAAAATTAGCTAGAATGCACCTGCACAGTAGTGGTTTTTTAAACTTTAGTATTTTTACAGCTTTAGAAAATAAAACACAGCTTTAGAAAAATCAAGTGCAATATAGTTTACTGGTATTTAAAACTTCATTATTAATGATTTTTGTTAGGTAAAAATGTAGAGAAGCACTTCAAAGAAGTGAATTTTAAACTGAATTTGTTTTCAAATTTGTAGCCAAATAAGGTGTTCTCTGAGGTTCTGTCATATATCATTCCTATGAAAATTGTTAAGGTAAATAGTTGTAAATTGCCAGTCTGCTGGGTTTTGTAATGAAAATACTAGCCAGCCTTAAAATTTACTTCTGGTTAGAGGATCTCCTTATCTTTTAGGGTTTGTAGTTTGTCTTAAGGTTATTTGCATACCGCAGTATACTGACTTTGCCTTATGGTAAAGCTTCTTTGTATCTTGTGAATTCTTCAGAGTTCAAGCAAAGCTTTAAGATGTGTAAGCTAAAGCAGAGCCTGAACTTAAGGTGCAGTAGACATATGGCTGTGGGAAGTTTGAAGTTTTAATGGGTGGCCACCCTGCTGTATAAATGGGGGATTCAGGGTTCATCTTTAATAACTTGTGCTAAATTGATGTGTGTACAGTGGTTCATTAATGTGCATGCTTTTTAATATATGATGATTTATCTCTTGAAGCAGTCAGTTCCAGAATTTGTTTTTAGTATTTAATGTCTTCTGAAATTGTTGATTAATTATAAAAGCGCTGTTTCCTTTGTTTTGGTCTAGTCTGTCTACTTAGTGTATGATTTTTAGGATTTAGAGGTGAAAATGTTCTCTAGGATACAACTTGGCAAATAAGATTTTTCAGGAGGCATTTTTTAGCTATTTAGTATACAAAATATATGCTCAAACTCTGAAAATGTTTAATACCTAAATATTTTACTATTACAAGGTGCCATGATGCAAGTTACCAAGATAAAGACATACTGAATAGGCACTGGGGGGTAATTGGCTTCTGTGGAAACTGAACTGCCAAATGAAGGTTTTTAACTATCAGTATTACAGTGGCATAGTCAACAAATTCTTAATTCTAACAACTTTTTTTATAGTTTAGATCAAGTTAACAGATTTTTATATGAATTATTCAATGGTTGACTACATTTAGTTCTGCCAGTCAAAATGAAGGTCAGCTACTGAAAGTTGTAACAACTACATTCTTCATGATTCATCCTAAAATACTTTCTTTTCTATTAGTTGTTATACTTTCAGCTACTCTTGATATATGCTGATGTAAATAAATCAGTGCTTGGAAATATAAATCTCTTGTGCAAATTAAAAGATTGGGTGGCAATTTAAAAGTATTTTAAAGCAGAAGGTGAACAAATGCTTTAACTGATGCACTTTCAGTAAATTAAAATGTTCCCCTGTGCTGAAATGTCTGGGGTTTATGGCACTTCTGCCTTCTGTAAACTCAAAACAGCTACAAAAGTTGTAGCTGGCAATGAACATGGAAATACATATAAGAATGAGAAAAGTATAATTTCTTTGTGCGCACCAGAAAGACTGAGGCATTTTAACGTAGTTTTTATTGAGAATTTAGATCTATTGTAATTCATCTTAGTCAGAAATATACACAAATATTTATTTTAATTGAATTATTTAAGTACTGAGTAGTTACTTCTGAATATACTAATTAAATGCTTCATTTCCTGGAAAGAGAAGTTAGACAAGCTAATTGCTATGTAGTGTGTAACTAGGCCAAAGAAGTGATAGCCTTTATTTTGCATCTGTGATTCTCATTTTAATATTAATCAGTGAGGAGATTTTAGGTTGCTTAAATTGTCATACATTAACTTGTATGTAGCAGTGGCATGATATTCTAGTCCAGTTAGAAAATACATTGCTTTCCAGGTTCTCTCTGCTGTTTTGACTGATTTTTCTCAGTTCAGACACATCTTTCCTAACTTGGTCTAAAATGTGACCATGATCAAAGCTCCATTTATAGTTGCATGTTTTAGTCTTCATGAACATCTTCTGTTGAATATGTAAAAGCAAGTATTTTGGGGGGAAATTTCAGACCTGTACTATAAAACTAGTAACTGTATTTTGAAGTATAAGCTTAGAATGTTATGAAATAGTATTAATGAGCTTCATTTCCTTCCTGTTTTTTACAAAGGGTGTTTGTTATGATTTGAGGTAATACATTTGCAGTGCCATTGTAGCTGTATTTGTCCCAGGATATGAAGGAGACCAGGTAGGCAAGGTAGTACGTTTTTTGCCCAAATTCTGTTCTTTGAACGTAACTGTGTAGCTTTTGAGCCACACAGAGTGCTTTTTTAGGTCTTTTTTTATTTGAAGTAATAAGCATTTTAAAAGATATTCTAAAAGCATACATCTGGAGTGGAACTGAAGCACTGGTTTTCTTGAATTTTGGCATGATCTAATCACAATTCACATGTTTGATATTAGGAATTTTTAATTTTTTCTTTATTGTGATTTCAATATGATTTTAGTGCTTCATGAGCATTTTTAAAAATAACATTAAGTGGAAAGTAACATTAAGAAGAAAATATACAAGTCACCTCTAAAGTTTGTATTAGAATGTGATTCATTACAGAGGGTAAAATTCTAAAATGTTAACTAGTGATGTAATTGTTATCTGAAACCAGAGCAATCGTACAGTAAGTTTTACGTTTCGAGACACTAGGTTACCACAGGTTATTACAAGATTTTGTTAAAGTTTCAGTTAAAGCTCAATAAATTGGGATATCTTTTTGGGGTAAAGGAGTGATCTGAATGATAGGCAGAGATTTAAATATTCATACATATCTGAGGGCTGTGAAGCTGTCATTTTATGTAATGGTATTCTCTTGGAATTCAGATTTGAATTAATATGGTGATTTAACTTAAACTTTCAGAAATTAGTATGCCTTATAAAAGCAAGTTTGGATTATATTTTGTCAATCTGGCATTCAGAAATGCAAATTGAAACATTTCTAACATGAGTCAATAAAATTCCCAATGTGATCTGTCATACACTATATTTTAGCCTTCTCAAATTAATATAAGTTGTAATTCACACTAATAAACATAAATATGTTTACAAGTAATTTGTGTTTATGCATGGAAATTGCTCAGCATTTCAGTGCTAACCTTAATCTGAACGATAAAAAATATTATATGAAATACAAAGCCCTAAATTCTCATTGAGTGTTTGATTTGTTTGGTTTTTCTGGGGTAGGGTGAAAGTTAATGGAAAATCACTTCTGAACATGCTTACTAGGCATCCAAAATTTGATGTTCCTATATACTGATAACAGGCTAACCAGGAGGCTCAAACAGAGTAGTCTGTATAAGGGAATTTCTAAATGTATCATTGAACTTCCAATTCTTCCTTAAAAGTGTGTGTGTGTGTGGGGGGGGGGGGTGGCATTTTGCTACTTACGCATAAAGAACCTGGAGATACTTTTAAGAAAGCCATACACTTTTTTTACTTTAGATATATTGGGAATACAGATGTTGTATTTTCCACTTTTTCTGTAGAAATCCTTGGAGGATCAGAGAACTATGGTGGTGGGAGATTTCTCAGTTTTCAGGTGGAGAGCTTGGACTGCAGAAAAATTGACAAAAATGCATCCTGCCACTTACTGGTGAGGAGTTAGAATTAAATAGTTGTAAACAAAATATAGTCTTAACCTCTTCCCCATGTCAATTGCTTGTGTTTCAGTTTCTTATATGCTTTTGATGACTTAAAATTTTTTATCTATGCAGTCTAATGACAATAGTTTGTGCATTTACTAAAATCTGTTTGTCAAAGGACAAACCAAAATATTTGCAGATCAGGATGAATGCTAAATAATCTGTCTTTCAGTACCAGTTAGTATAGAGTAACGTAATACTGTATTAATGTTTACAGTGACATTTCCAGCTTCACTCAGATGGGGAGGAAAAAACATGTTTATGATGTCAGGACTAGTATGTGTTCTTAGGACTTATTCAATATTTTGTCAGAGTGGCTTTTACATAAAAGTTCAATAGAGTATTTTAGCACAGTTCATACTACTGCAGTATGTTTTTTAGGGTTCATAAAGTAATAGATTGGTAGCGCTGGAAACTGATAACTTATCTTCAGATGCAATAAAATGCATTTTTAATTATACCACATGATAAAGTGCTTCACATACAGGATGAATAAAAAATTAGCTAATTCTTTTAGAACAAGATGTTTCCTCAGGTTAAAAAAAAAAATGAGGCCTGAAGAGTTGCTGCCTCTTTCCAAACAGTTATAAAGTCTTAATCAGTAGATTTTAGGACCAGAAGTTGTCATCTAGACATGCCTTCTGCATAACATAGGGATGACCCACCCTAAAGTTAAAAATGTCCAATATGCCAAAATTTAATGATTCTATAATTTTGTTAAAGTGTAACTGGAACTTCTGGAAGAGGTTACATAGGAGATGAAGTGGCAGCTAATGTGGTATATACATTATGGCTATGCCATATTTTTTCATTGTGGAGGTCTTGTCTAGCTACTGATCAGACCATTTTGCTATGCTTGTGGGAACTGACGGGCAGGATTCTTTGGGATGCTTACCTGAAGGGGAAAGGAGTCCAGGAGAGCTGACAGTATTTTAAAGAAGCCTTATTAAAGGCACAGGAAGAAACCATCCCAATGCGCAGTAAGAAAAGCAAATATGGTAGGCGACCAGATTGGCTTACGGGGGGAGCTTAAACACAAAAAGGAAGCTTACAAGAAGTGAAACTTGGACAGATGACTAGGGAGGAGTATAAATATATTGCTCGAGAATGCAGGGGAGTTATCAGAAAGGCGAAAGTGCAGTTGGAATTACATCGAGCAAGGTATATGAAGGGTAACAAGAAAGGTTTCTACAAGCATGTTAGCAATAAGAGGGTGCTCAGAGAAGGTGTGGGGTCCTTACTGAATGGGAGGGTAACCCAGTGACAGATGATGTGGGAAAAGCTGAAGTACTCAATGCTTTCTTTGCCTCTGTCTTCACGGACAAGATCAGCTCCCAGACAAATGCACTAGGCAACGCAGTATGGGAAGGAGGCGGACAGCCGGGAAAGAACAAGCTAGGAACTATTTAGAAAAAGCTAAACATACTCAAATCCATGGGTCCGGATTTAATGCATCCAAGGGTACTGAGGTCGTTGGCAAATATCATTGCAAAGCCTGTGGCCATTATCTTCTAAAACTTGTGGAGATCGGGAGAGATACCGGATAATTGGAAAAAGGCAAATGGTAGTGCCCATCTTTAAAAAATGGAAGGACAATCTAGTGAACTACAGACCAGTCAGCCTTACCTCAGTCCTCAGAAAAATCATGGAGGGGATCCTCAAGGAATCCATTTTGAAGCACTTGGAAGAGGGGAAAGTGATTAGGAATAGTCAACATGGATTCACAAAGGGCAAGTCATGCCTGACCAACCTGATTAACTTCTATGATGAGGTAACTGGCTCTGTGGGTATGAGAAAGTCAGTGGAAAGCTTTAGCAAAGCTTTTGATATGGTCTCCCACAATATCCTTGCCAGCAAGTTAAGGGAGTGTGGATTGGATAAATGGACTGTAAAATGGATAGAAAGCTGGCGAGACTGTTGGGCCCAACAGGTGGTGATCAGCGGTTTGATGTCAGGTAGGCAGTCAGTTTCTAGCAGAGTTCCCCAAGGATCGGTTCTAGGACTGGTTTTGTTCAACATGTTTATTAATGACCTGGATGAGGGGATGGATTGCACCCTCACACTAAGCTAGGGGGAGAAGTAGATTCACTGGAAGGCAGGGATAGGGTCCAGAGTGACCTAGACAGATTAGAGGATTGGGCCAAAAGAAATCTGATGAGGTTCAACAAGGACAAGTGTAGAGTCCTGCACTTGGGATGGAAGAATCCCAAGCATTGATACAGGCTAGGGACTGAATGGCTAAGTAGCAGTTCTGCGGAAAAGGACCTGGGAATTAGTGGATGAGAAGCTGGATGTGAGTCAAGTGTGCCCTTGTAGCCAAGAAGGCTAATGGCATATTAGGTTGCATTAGGAGGAGCATTGCCAGCACATCTAGAGATGTGATTATTCCCCTTTATTCAGCTCTGGTGAGGCCACATCTGGAGTATTGTGTCCAGTTCTGGGCCCCCCACTATAGAAAGGATGTGGATGCATTGGAGAGGGTCTAACGGAGGGCAACCAAAAGTATTAGGGGGCTGGCGCAAATGACCTATGAGAAGAAACTGAAGGATTTGGGTTTGTTTAGTCTGTAGTAGAGAAGCGGGGGAGGAGGATTTGATAGCAGCCTTCAACTTCCTGAAGAAATGTTGCAAAGAAGATGGAGAAAGGTTGTTCTCGGTAGTGACAGATGGCAGAACAAGGAGCAATGGTCTCAAGTTACAGTGGGAGAGGTCTGGGTTGGATATTAGGAAAAACTTTCTCTAGGAGGGTCGTGAAGCACTGGAATGGGTTCCCTAGGGAGGTGGTGGAATCTCCATCCTTAGAGCTTTTTAAGTCTTGGATCGACAAAGCCCTGGCTGGGTTGATTTAGTTGGGATTGGTCCTGCCTTGGTCAGGGGGCTGGACTTGATGACCTCCTGAAGTCTCTTTCAGCTCTATGATTCTACGATCTGGCATGGCTCCAACCCATGGCAGTATTGGTGCTGCTGATTGCTTGAGTTCCCAAGGCTTCAGTAAATAATAGGAGCAGAAATGAAACTTGGTACCTTACACAACACTACAGGGGCCCTACAGATGGCATATCTAGAAAAATAATATAGATACAGATATATTTAAAATGTTCAAAACAGAACTTAGTAATATGCAGCTGTAAGCAAGAAAGTAGAGCCCGTATAGTTGCATGGTAAAAGTGAACATGTTGCAGATCACTTGCATAGTGGTCTGGTCTTGTAGCTTATAAATAGCACCCGTGAAACTGATTAGTCTTGTCAGTTTCATTTTTCTGCTGCTCCTCCAGAGGCTTTTCCATTTAATGGGTAGGGTGACTCAACTATGAAGAATTTTGTCTCCTGTCCTCTTCTCTCCCACACATTGCTTCAGAGTTCCCAGAAGTAGCACAATTAAACTTCATAGCAATATTTCAATTTTATGACTGCTATTCCTAGCTATTAATCAGCAGCAAAACTGTAAATAGTGTTTTTGTTAAGTTGGTGAGCAAAGTTGTGATCTCCTCATCGCTTCCAACAGCCAGGAGAGGGGAGATATACAGTAGGATGAAGGAGAGAGTTTTGTCAAGGGCATAGGAGTAAATCCTTAATCTCACTGAAAGTGCAATGGGATCTTCATTGTGCTGAGATGAACCTCAGTTTAAAGTCTCATGATTGATAGTGGCATGATTGCCATGTCATTTATGGTAGTAAAGACCAGGTTTGACAAACGTGAATTCTGTGAAAGTTAATGATGAAGAATTTTCACAAGCATGTAAACTCTGCATGAATCCATGGAATGTATTAAGTACACATAGGATTTGTGAAGATACAAAGCAGATTTGTATTTGCATATTAGGGTATCTGCACAGTGGGTCTGCAGAAATGTGCATGCATGTGCATTTGGGATTCTGTCTTTCTAACCAGTTAAAATACTGTGGAATAGTAAATGCAGTGAATAAAGGAATAGCGAACTATAGTTTCAGTTTTTGAAAAAATACTTTTGATGAGTAAATGATGAAGGTCATCATGGATTTTAAATCAATCCACAACATAGGAAATGGTTATGGCCATTTTTTTTAATGGAGAGAAGTTAGTAGTATGGTGTCCCAAGTATTAGTATTGTGGCCAGGGTTGGCCCTCGAAGGTACTTAGCATTTTAATTCCTGATCCTGCAGAATGCTTTGCTGGATCATGCTAACCCCTTGGAGGTATGGGTGAATGGTGAGGTATCAGAACTTGCTTAGAGAACAGATACCTAAATTACAGGGTGTGGAGATTTGAGACACATTTTATGGAAGGAATCAACACAACTGGCCAGGCAAAAATGTCTTCCTTTGGTATAATGGACAGTTAGGTGCATTAATCTTCTCCTGAAAACTCTGCAATGGCCTACAGTTTTATCAGAAAAATTGTTGGCTAGATCTGTTATTATATCTGTATTCCTAGAAGTTCAGTTTCCATGCTAAATCAGTTATTGACCTTGTTTGAAATTGCCATCCAGATATTCTATTCGCACTGATGATTTTTGTGGTGTGTGACATGGTTTTCTGAGAACTGAACCCCAGGGTTATTTGATGGGCACTATTAATAGTCATTGGCTGAAAATGACATCATTTTTTAGTTTTGACATACGGTAAGGAATGAAAAGTTCCATTTCCAGTTATCAGTCTCCTGTGCCATTCATTTCACTCATGCTAGTGAAATTTGTTAACTTACGTTGTAAAGCCCCAGAAGAAGGTTAACAAAATTTTACACAGAAGCAATTGTTTTACAGTTAAGATGTAAAAAGGTTCCCAACATAGGGCTGAGGGCTATTAGTTCCATTAAAACTCAAAATTGATCTCAGTGCAAGGTTGTGGGCATCTTGCATTTTCTCAGCATTTCCCAATCTCCTCCATTTCAACGCTCTAATTTTGCATTGAATTTTAAGATGACTATGGAGCTTATATAGATGGTTGTCATAAACAGGATGAGGTAGAGAGAAA